GATTAATTGTTGAAAACTCCAGCCCTCCACATTCTTGTAAGTTTCCACTACCCAGTACAAAAACAAGGATTCATGGTCTGTTATAAGACACCGTAACCCCAGTAACAGCGTTTTCATTGGCTTCTGTGTTTTTGATGTATTCCAGCAAACGATGTGTTGATTCGCTGTTTTTGCTTGTGACGCAACATTTACGTATGATAATAAAAGAACTGATCACGCCCACGGAGGTCGGATTTTCTTTGGACTTGCTGAGCTTTGAGCAAAGCTAAGTAACAAGAATTTCTCCTCTTTGCAAAGTGATGGTCAGAAAAAGCTCATTCGCTTCTGTTGTCATTGATTTAATGTTCGGCCGGGTTTTGCTGTGTYTCTCTGAGTTCCTAGGTTAAAAAAACCCGAACACTCATCAATTGGTCCAGAGATTTCACAATTTGATGAGGCTGTGATCTGAAATTAAGACTTTGCTGTTCTACTAACTTCAAGCCTGTCAGTCATTTTTCCTGATCAACACAGCAGCGACTAAAGACACAAAACAAAAACTTATTTTAATAGCACTTGAATTTTCTTGTTTTAATTTTTTTAAAATATTTAAAAAGAGGATAACCATTTCCATTTCTACATGCATTTGCTTCATCCTACAAACTGGACCAGAATGAGCTGTCTATGACTCAAACTAGAGTGGTTTAAAACACAAAACCCCTGTTTAGACCCAAAGTATAGATTGTCTCATGGTGTTTTGGTTTAAAATGGCAAATCTGAATGTGCTAAAGCAGAATACTGATTTCCATATCTTCACATGCTGATATTGGATTTTTAGATGTACTTTTGTGGGAACTGATGTCACAATTGTAAACTACACTATAGCTGAAAATGAGCAGCCACATTGGACTTTGAAATGAAGTTCTTAGAATCCAACATCAGAAGGTTTAACTCTTAATTATTCAGAGTTCAAACCGAATGAACCATCAGATTTGACCGATTCCCTCCTTCCTATTCCTTCCTCGTGTTTTCTTTCAGGGATTTTTAAAATTTATTTTTAAGTTTTCTTTAGAAACACAAGAATTAACCAGAAGCAGCAAAATGTTTTAAAATGTCTCAGGGTGTAAAATCCTGACCACACAAATGTCATATTTTAAACAACAGATGTTGTGGGGAGGTTTGTTCCATGGACCTGCCCACAGAAGAAAAATAGGGCCTTTGAAACAACTAAATTTAGGTATTTAGGTTTCGTTTGAGCTGTTTGTTCAGTTTTAGACAAAGCAGGAAAAAACTATTAAAAGTATTGAAAAAAAACTGACAAAGTTTCAGGAAGTGCCAATGATAGAGAGGAACTGAGAGAACAAAAACACAGAGACTGAATGTAAAAGGTAAGTGCTTTAATTTTGCAGGTGCAGGAGGCCCACATTTATCAAACTTCTTAGAGTGGAATTTTAGACTTAAGTGCTGAAAATTTCTTATATTTACTCCTACTCTCAGACTTAAGTATAAGTACCAGTTATCAACATTCTTGAGTCTAAGAATCACTCTTACTCTCCCAAAAAGTTAAGACAGCTCCAGAGGACTCTTACATAAGTGGGTAAGAGTTGTCACTAGGGGTCTAAGATGGACTGAGAAAACAGAGATCACAGCTGTGTCCTCCTCAAGAATACTCTGCACGACCTCAGAAACTGCACAAAGTGGTCCGGGGGTCTCCCAACTGAGTGTTATTCTCAGTTATAATGTACAGAGTAACTAAAATAAGGTGTGGAAAACAAGTCATCAAAACAAAAGAAAGAATTCAATTCAATTCAGTTCAATTCAATTCAATTCAGTTTATTTATATAGCGCCAAGTCACAACACACGTCATCTCAGGGCACTGTACATAAAAAGAACAATCTAAAGAAGAAGCCAGCAGATTGTGCTGAATCACTTCATCATAGCATCCTGAGCAAACGGTGGAGAGGAAAAACTCCCTGCTAATCAGGAAGAAACCTCCAGCAGAACCAGGCTCAGGACAGGTGGCCATCTGCCTCGACCGGCTGAATTGTGGGACAGGAAAGAGACACAGGTAAACACAGAAGAACTGGGGCCAAAAAGCTTGCATATGCCATTTTCCACGCAAAACTCCGGCTGTATCAAAACTCAACTGAAAGTGGAAATGTGCGCAGCCCCACGCCAACTCCAGGGCTGGCGTACGCACGTTTCTGTGGTACTGGATCCATTGGCGACACTTAGAGGTGATTCTGAGAAACTGTTCATGATGTGAAAATGATTATAGTTAACACCAGACATACATGATTAACAATTATTGCATCCACATGGACACAGTTAAATAAAGGATATGCAAAGTTGTGTCAAAAATCAGTGGTGTGCACCAGTCCACTAAAGCACAAATCCACTAATTGCAGACCTAATCATTTTTTTGTGCTTTAGCAATCTTACTAATTTATATAATTCATAAGCAGATTTGCACTTTGTAAATTTAAACTGATGTTCTGCTAATAACTTATCTACCAGTCATCATTATCTTTAAGAGCAGAAGGTATGTCTGTCAGGGCTCATAACGCGGGTGACCTAGCCAACAGCTCCCGTCCCAGCTAAACACTGTTTTTGGGGAAGGTTCTGTATACGTCCTTCCTGACTGTCGGTTTGGGTCACGGTTCAGTCGGTTCTCATGCAGGTCAGCTTTGCAAGGTATTTTTGCTGGCAGCAATCTAAATTACTCAAATGGCTTCTGTTAAATTATAATAAACACAGTGCAAAAGACAATATTCAGTAGCCAGCAGGGATCCACATTTTACAAATATTTCCCACAATGCTTTGTGTCTGCTTAGGAAAGCAATGTTTAGAACACACTTTCCCAGCAAAAACAGTAACATTTGTAATCCATACTAAAATTTTGTATGTATTGATTTATTTTACTTTACAATCGGAGCTCCCTTTTTAAAAAGAAAATTAAATTAAAATGCTGGAGCACAATACTTGACGTAACTGGTCGAAGCAATGGGTTTATAGCCTTGTGCTGACGAAGAAAATGTCCTCATGCATCTCAGTAATCCAGGTTAAAAAAATCAAAAAGAAAAAAATAAGTAGTTCATCTCGATGGGTTCTTCTTTAGCGAAACGTTTCGTCTCTCCTCCAAGAGACTTCTTCAGTCTGATGAGTTTCAGGTGAACTGGAATCCAAAGGAAACATGGAAAACTAAAATCCAAGCTCTTATTTTGAAGGGAAGATACTAGTTTCCTGTTCTCCGTGCTTTCATTTCCCATCACAAATGTACCCAGAATGCATCACTTCAGTTTTCCAATAAACAACAACAAACAAAATAAAAAGACAAAGAAGAAGCCGAAATAGCAATCCTCAGCAACTTTTTAAAGAATCAGCCGAACTAGCAAGCCTCAACAAGTTTTTAATTCTTACACCAGGAGCCAAAGTTCTGTTTCAGGAAATCAGACCCCCAGAGATTGGCTCTTGGAAAACGAGCTGTACAAGAGTTCATACACCACTAGTGGGCAGCAGTGTACATTCAATCTGCGCTTCAAAATTAGCTTCTGCTAATATTTCTATCAAGCACTTTTGAAGTTCTGAACCCAAGTATTTTCTTAAGTGCTTTAAAAATTGCTGAGTTAATTTTTGAATTAGCACTGCCCACCACTGCCAAAAATACATTTAACAGGAACAGATTCAGCCTTACTGGAGGATATAATAAATAGTGTAATACGCAGAG